TCCTCTCCCGGCAGCCACGCCCCCCTGCCCTGCTCCTGTGGCACGGCCCCACATCCGAAACTGCCCCAGGAACTGTTCACAAGCTGCCGGGGTTCAGAAGTCACAGGCTGGCCACCCTTGGAGAAGAAATACTTCGGCTGGATTTAAACAAACTAGTCCGGCTCCTGGAAGCACTGTGGTTATTAGTAGCATAAAGTTTCCCAGCGGAGCTGTTCAGCGGGGTTGAAAGACAAGGTCAGTGCAAGAACAAATGGTTGAGAGAGGACTGTTCTTAGCCATTATCCAGCCAGGATCACATTTAGTGCGTTCCTTGACTCGTGTCCACCCTGCGTGGAAACCCTCTGCACAAACGGTCCAGCTAAACATGTGAGAGGTCTGGGTGATAGCTCAAAGCCATTCAGAACTTGAAGTTTAGTTAGAGAACCTCTAATCCAAACCAGCAGAAAGATGAATGAAAATATAGGAGCATTTTGTAATTAAATCTTTGGTATTATGCTGCAGGCTTTCAATTCAGTTAATTACTGAGCTGAATACTTGCCAATATGTATTGAAGCTTCCCTCCTCTCCTCCTTTCAGAGAGTCTTGCTGTGATAAAGGAACCCAGCAAGCTCACTCAACAGTCATTCAGTATGGAATAAAATATAGCTTTGTAGAAAAAAATTTTTTCCCGGAATCCCAACATGCAATGTGGGGAACTACAAGAGTCCAAAAGACATGCTTACTTACATGGGGCTGCACATCCAACAAGCAAACTTTGTTTTTAGCTAGAACGGATCGAACAGAATCTAAACTTGTACCATAGTAGTTGTTCTTATACTCGCCGTACTCGATAAACCTGTGGCAGAAGGTGAAAACAACGGGAATAACTTCCTTTTTCTCCAGAAAAAAGCTTATCAGTTTGGTTTATAAGATCTAATTCAGGAGCAAAAATATTTCACTTTACATGAGAGTTTTACCATATTTTATAAAGGAAATGCTGTCAAGTACTTCAGCATGTCAATTTTAAGAAATCTACTTTACCACTTTCAAATCAGTAACACCTGCTTGTATTACAGTTAAAGAGAAAAAAAGTACTGTAGTCCAACAGCTCACTAATGTTTTCCATCACCTCTTTTTCTGAACTAATGCAATGCAGTAAAACAGTGGATAAGCTAAACAATAGAAACTACTGAAATTTCATTGCACACTACAGAATATCCAAATTCTCTGTCTCAGAAGAGGAGGAGGAGCGCCGATGGTGCTAATGGAACCAAGGCGGCTGGTTATGTGCTATAAAAGTACAAGCGCTATCTGCCAAAAAAGCAAAGCACAGTTTGAAGTTTCAATAAAACCCACAGCTTTGTGTCTAATACACTTTTGCCCTCTGAAACACTGGGACAGAATTTCAAGCTACGGTATTTTACAGGCTGCTGGAGAGCACGATGCTGCCATTGTCTTCATTTCAGTTCAATTTCTGGCGGGTTTACAGGCAGGGGCTTCACTGTAGATCTCTAAATTCAAAAGCAGAGGAAGTGCCTGGCCTGAAAGAGAGCAGAACTACGCAAACATTGACTCAGGCATGTTTGCAGCACTTCCAGGACCCCCTCTCCTAGAGCTGCGATGCTTTATTGCTATGACAGACGATGCCCGGAGTGCTCCCCCATCCTGAACACCTACAATTTCAGCGTCGTCTTGACGAGCTGAAGTACTGAAACTGCTTGGAAGCTTTGAAAGCATGGAAGCATTTGTGTTTGCACATACCGCTTTTTTGCTCTGTGTTTTTGCCAGCTGCTTTGAACTGCTTATATATCAAAATGTAATTTTAACACATCTTCAAATCACTGCAACTTATATCCACTTTGACTTATTATCTAAAATTACAACCAGCCCCATTTTATAATAAAGCCATTGTTTTAACTGCAGTTCTAGTTAAAATCTCTTCAACGTACTTGTTATTCTGTACGTCTGTCTCAAACAAGTGCTTGGAAATGAAAGTGTATTCGACACCGTCACTTTCTTGGCTTCTCCTTGGTCGGGTAGTGTCTGCAGTTTCATTAAATGGAAAAAAAAAAAGGAAAAGATGCACAAAACAATATAAAGCAAACCAGTTCAGGAAACACTGAAAAGCACACAGCCCTTGTGCAATACTAAGCGTAGCAGTTCCCTCACTTCTGATGGACATAAGGCTGCTCTGGTTCTGGTAGGCAGCACTCAAGCACATGACAGGATTGAGTTTAAAAGCCTGAAGGAAAAGCAAGAAAAAGCTTATTGGACAAGTATCAGATTATCATTTTTATTAACTAGTGGAAAAATCCAATAAAATGAGGACAGCTGAATAATAAAAGGAGCAGCAGTCCATAACCATTACCCCAGCCTTGCCACTTATTAAACTTATTAGCATACAAGACCATAAAGGGAAACAAAGCTTACCAACTTGATTTATAAAATGTTACATTCATTAACAACACTTGTAGCTATGGTATGTGAAGCATGATAATAAAAAAATAGGGGTGTGAATTTTAAGTTTTAGAGCTTTTCTTTTTCTGGTGGTCAAAACCAAATTGTTTTTTCTTTCAGTAGCCTTGTAGTATTTGCACTTCTTACTTTCAAGTATTACGTATAAAGGTTTTGCTTATAAATGAAGCTTATTTGTGGGGTGGCCACATACGAATAATGAACCTATTGGAAAGTCCTGTTTAATACAAGTTGTATGTTACAGCATCATGCGTTCTCCATCACGTAGGAACGTACACAACCTGCTTGCAGAAACACAGTCCTGAATGCCATTTGATATCACGCTGCTCTTAGACTGACATGAAGAGAAACGTTTCCATGACAAGAACCCCAGTTCTCCCTCCAAGTCCTGACTTACTGAATTTCAGGGAAAGGGATTTCTTTACGTGTTTGTTTTAAATTATAACCACAAATTTGGAAGAGAAAAGAGAGAAGACAGCCTGATGAATACTGGCAATTTTTAGAGAAATATTTTTGGGCAAATGATTGCATATGCTTCAATGTGTTAAATATTTGGGAACATCTGGCTTTTTTTTGTTGTTGTTTTCAATACCCAGTTGAAGCAAATATGTGCAAATGAAATTACTCGCCAAAACCAAATGTATTCATTTTTCTACCTAGCAAATTCATTCATATATATGTACTTTATAGAATACCTGTACTTGCAAAACCCTTGTGACATCATCTCCCACACTGAGAATGTTGGACCCATTTTTTTTAAATGATCCCAATAGGAGGCACAGGTACAAGTAGAAAGCAAACCAAGGAATGAAAGTCTAACTAAAACTGTCAAGTCCTCCACGTTAAAGAAAACCCAGCGAAGTATTGTAGAAGTTAATATAGAACAATGTTATTCAATGTTATACAAATTATGCCGCTTGGTCAGATAGGGGGAAAGAGGAAAAAAAAATCCCCAAATCAACTTTTCTAAAGGTAATCAAAGGGATTTAATTAATTTATTCACAGGATTAAACTGCTTATCATCAGTCTTAATTTTTCAGCCTAATATATAAAGGCCATTTTGCTGAAAGCAAGCATTGGTAACAGAGTACGTTTCACTGCTTTACAGCCAAATCCAGGGCGTTCTTCAGCCGAGTTTCATTTACTAAACCTTGCTGACATCAATCATGTTAAACTTGTACTAAAAGTCTACTGCAATGCCTCTGAGCCAAAACATCCTATCAGTTTAATCAATGCTATTTAAAATACAACTGCAGCAGCACTTTTAAAAATTAGAAAAGTAATTTGGATGCCAAGCATGGATTTAGAGACAAATTTGAAAGTGCCTTAAGGTAATGCAATAATAAAGGAAAATAATGCAAGTATGGCATTAGGAGAATAGAAGTGCGTTTTTACTTACGTGGCACTGTTACCCCGTAATGCTGGGTGTCACTGATCAGCAATTTCCGTTTAAGTTCATTCAGCCCAACCCCCACAGGACCTGAAAGAAAAAAAATCGTGCTCTTTCCCAACAGCCAGTTCTCTCTAGTCTTCAGGTGTAAGTACTCTCCGAGGCAAGACTACGTAGCATATAGCCATAACATATATTGGCTTTTAATCAGAGTCATTTGGAAATGCCCATGGTTCGAGCCTCTCCTAGAGCATACAGCGCTGACAAACGTCAGGGGATGTAGTTGGCAGTTACGCTGCTCTGACTTTACTACTGAGGAAAAATCAGTGAAAAAGTTGACAGCAAAGCTAACTTTCTTTTCTACAGCAACTATCCACAATACGCACCTATCTCCATCCTCAGCCACTGCAGACCTCCGCACGCTAACCTGCAGCTTTCCAGCACAAAAACTGCTTTGGCTATTAATTTTGCCAGAATATCTCCAACTCACAGACTAGAAGGCCCCAGCTGGCATGCACAAAGTCCCCCCCAAAGCCTCTGCACTCCATGTGTCATCGTGGCCCTTTCCACATGGCTTCCCTCCAGCTGCTGCATCCCTTGTCTGCACCAGACTCCCCCGAGGAGCATTGCTCCCACCTTCTCCCCACACCCTGGGCACACTGCTCCTTCCAGCCCTGGCTGCAGGCAGGAACACCGCCCGGCCTCTGGCTGGCTGTAGCCGTCACTGTCCACCTTTTGACTGGGCCACAGTGGCATCGCGCAGGGAGAGGAAGGAAGGGCAGCACCCCCCAGGTCACAACCCATTTGGGATGTTTGGGTTTCTTTGTGGTTGATTTTCTTTTAAACTATGCTCGTCTCCTGCCTGCTGTCTGAACTGGTCCAAAGCAAATATTTCCTTCTTCACACAGCTGCCAAAGAGAGACCACTCTCGGAAAGAGGATGGCAGGAAGAAACAAAGACTGCACGGAATTTTTTTGATCTGTCTCACCCAGCTACATTTGAGTCCTGCTGTCCTAGAAGCCCCTGAGCAGAGGTTCCTCATGTTTTTCAGGTTGTCCCTAACTCTCAGCCATTTGCCAGTGGTGCTTTAGGTCTCAGTGAGGGCACTCTGTCCTGTGAAGTCTCAAAGGCTCCGTGGGCGATTGCTGCCTGCCCCCAGGAGCCCTTCACACAGGGCTCCAGCCTGCCTGGCCCCTTTGGTGGTGGGGCCATGGTGTCACGTGTGTGTGGAGGGAGCTCAGCTCTGCGTGCTCATGCGTTTCTGACAGTGCAGTGGTTTCATTTCTGCAGAGCCAGGTCAACAGCAGAACGCAGAGGAGAATGAGTCGTTGGAACCATAACCCAAATAATACAAGGATAATACATGTGGTTTTAAGGAAAATTCCTGCTCTTCTAGTAAAAGTGATAAAAAGCACTCCATGCGTAAATGTAACAGAGACATTTTAGACATCAGAAATACAAAACCTAATAAACATTTTAATGAAATAGTGGTATGTTGGTTAATGACTAGTGAGAGTCTGGTATGAAAAAGCAAAGATTGATGCTTCAGCACCTTCAGGTGCCTATTTGTAAAAACGACTATCCGCCCTGTCTGAAGTTAGGAACACGTAATGATGAAAAGCAATGCTTGCTATTTTGCTACTATCCCCCAACTATGGTCTCTTTGTAAAATCTTAGGGTTTCTGCATTTATAATTTTTATATGTTTACATAAGTTAAACACACAACTACATTTCAAGTTCCATCTCTGACCTGCCTGTAAATTAATCTATCAGTATGTATAAATGTTTATTTAATATGGTGTACAGCAGCCTCTACTGGTGCATGTCTGCAGAGGAAAGCAATGTGTCATGTAGATAATGGCATTACTTTTGTTCTTTTTTAAAGAAACGTTTTTCCTTTTTTAATAGTATAGCTATTTAAGGCAAATATGGACTTTTATTGGAAAAGTGATTAAAATTAATTAATTAATATATCCTAGCAAAGTAGAATGAAACAAGTGGAATTCAAGGAAAAAAAATAATTCCATTCATTTCAAGCACAAGATTTTCCCCATCAAATCTACACAAATATTATTTCCTCTGTCTACACGCTGTCAAATCAACAGTATGCTTTTAGCTCGATTTATATATAAAGAATCCAGGCTTCGCTTCCTGCAACAGATGCTTTGGAAACTTAGATCAAATCTGTTTCCAGACCACAACCTCACTATTACTCTGTCTCCCCTTCCAGATTACCATTTAAAAATCATCTTCTAATTTAACTACTGGAAGGTGTAGATTCTTCTTTTTCAGTGCTGTCTTCGCAGAGGTCTCCTAACTGTAGCATATGGATGCTGAAGGCCGATTCCTAATTAGCAATGCCATCCAATTATGCTGATTTTTACACTGTATCTCCCAAGTGTAATGTACACTTCTATTCTGAATATTCTTTTCGTTTTGATGCCGGTTTCTAATAATTATGAATCTGAACATGATCTGAACTCAAGAAGAGAATAAAGCATCTTGATTGAAAAGGACCATCCCGATTCTTACAGTAAAATGCCAGGCATGTGGGATCCATGACTGTAGCATAGTTTTGGTTTACTATAAATCACCCCAGGCAGCAATGTTTAGAGTTATGGCAACAGATTTAGAGATACTTTGTTTATTTTTTTAAAGGAACGTTTACGTTACTTGCTGTTGCAAGTTGAGTCATGTAAGCTAAGCAATGGTTGAATCCTGCGCAAATGGGCTGTAGTGCCTACCTCACTTTACTGAGGGACACTTGCAGAATTAAACCACCGATCATTAAAACTTGCATTAGATTTTGTACCATTCAGACATGTCTGAAGAAAACTGAACAAATTGTTTGATGTAAGTTCAGGTCTCAGGAGGGTTAACCCAACCAGCCATTCTTCACCCATAGATACACACTGATCTCCTAGAAGTCTATTTGAAAGAAGAAGAAGAAAAATAAAGTGGTCTTTCAGAAAAGATTTTGGGAGTTAGGTGACAACATCCCTGCTGGGATCATAAAGACCCTGTAGAAAACATGCCTTGACAGAGGTTCTGTGGCTCAGTTATTCCTTCTCTAGTACAACTGATCACTGTGAGGCAATGACTGCACACGCATGTCCAAGCGTAGCTCAATGAGATATATGGTGGGAAAGCAGAACCTCATTTTTTTGTATTACAGTAAGTTACAACTAGCGGTGGGAGTGTACTTCTAGGTTTCCTGTTCACTGAATCAAGATCAGTGATTTTATACTGCTGTTCTCATGGGCAAGGCTAGCCAATATGCTGCATCCTATGTATTCATTCCCGAGCCATGCTGACCTACCCATGCCTTCAACCAGGAAGGTTTAACGAAGACAGCAATTCTAGGTCTCTTGTCATTGTCCAGATGGTTTACTTGAAGTAGTATGGCCATGGCAGGCGATTTTCCTGCACTACTGCTGTAGATCTATTAAGTCTCTGCAAACCACTACCTGAACACGTTAAAGGTAAGTCAAGAGATGTAGAAAGCTAGAAGCCACTTCCATTTCATCCTCCCCTGCTCTGAGACAGACCTGGCCTCCACATAGCTCCATCAACCAGAGGTGATGGATTTTTTTTTAAATGTAAGCACTATAACAATAGAGAACTTTTCCAGTCCCAGATTCCTTTTCTTCACAGTGGTGACCAGAAGGACACCATTCTGGGGAGTACTGGCAGCCTAATTCAGAGACAGAGAGCCTTTTCTGATTGTGTCACACACCAATAACGACTGCTCCTTTGTGGTTATACACCTCTTGCTTCCACGACTGCCCACTTAGGACAGATGCATCACCATGGGTGACCACAGCATCTGAAAGGCTTTGCAGGCCTCTGGTGATAACACTGCATGCACATAACTGCATGCATTCTGGGGGACACGCTCATGGTTTGTTACTGCTGACCTTGCTTTATCCTAGCACTGCCCCTTCAGAAAGCTCTGACTTAGCTGATACTATGCTGTGTAAAGTTACAGTATGCGGCACATCCATTCTCTTAGGAAATAAAATTTGTGCTAGTCTGGCCCTCAGTTACTGAAGCAGAAGCCTTTGTGAGCAGGACTTTTTCCTCATTAATCTAAATGAAAATTCTAGTGTCTAAATAATATGTTTCATATTAAAATATTCTGCTTTTGCCTGGGGGTAGGGCTGCAAGGCATCATGCTTAGGATGCAGGCAATACTTCTGAAAGAAGACTTCAAGGATTTGTTGGCAGTCTGGGAACAGTAAGTTACCAGAAGACTGGTGACATGATATTGGATAATTTTGTTTTTAGCAGACTCATCACATTTGTAACAACTAAAAGCACAGCAGAACCATCTGCATCATTACTGCTTCAGACAATCTGTTATTTTAGCCCCAAGGATATGCAGGACTTTATTCATGAACCTACATTTGCAGACAAGGTAAAATCTTGACAAACTAATACATCTAGCTGAACCTGAGACTAGTATATATCACAGTACAGGGCACTAAAAATTACTGTGTGCGCAATTTGCATTCTGTAAATTAGACTAGACCAATTTAAAACGAAGCCAAAAGAAATTTCCACTTCAAAGTTGTCGAACTCCCTCCCCCTAAAAAAAGGGCAAAACAAAACCTAAAAAAACCTTCCAACAGCAAGTTATACTTTTAGGCCTAGCAAAACACAACAGACATTTAATGCCCCCACCGACTACAGCTATAAATTAATTATCTGTCCCTTTGTTTCCTGGTACTACTATCCAAATTATATTTGACGGATTATACTGAATGCTGCTACTGGCACACAAAAAGCTTTTTAAATGTGTTTGCTTCTACTATACCTGCATTGCTTAGCTCTGCTAGTTTTTCCACATTTTGCCCAAGACATTTTTATGGTATTGGCCAGACTTAAGCTGCCCTTAATATCCAGAGAAAAACACTAGAATTACTGAAGTCTGCAATAAATTTCTGAACTGCTTTTGTTACTGAAAAAGCACACTTTCTTCATTTGATTTATTACAATAAAAATCAAATGAAACCTCTAGGTATTCCTTAGATCAGACATATGCAATTTGTTATAAAAAGTCTACTTATCACACTTTTGCACTGCACTCTGTTGATGTAAGTGTAAAATCAACTCAACCATGTTATTACTTCTTGTATATAGCCCACAATCTCACAGTGATCACACTAGTAGGTGGCTGAATTTTAGTGCTGGAGAGTGACAAAACTGTTTATTAAAAACTAAATTTAATGTTCCCTTGGATATGAGCGATATAAAAACATAGCTACTCAACAGTTCGTAACAGTCCCTGATAGAGGGTCATATTTCTCTGCTCTGCTGCTTTCAGGATGGAGGAAACTTTACTAATGAAGCATCAACCTATGTGCTACTGCAAAAGAAACAATGAGCAATGAGACATTACTCATTGGTAGTAATGGTTACTCATTACTCATTGGTACTCCAATGGTTACCTTTGAAACATTTAAGATAATGTACTTTCTCTTTTTTTAGGAGACTGAAGTAATGCATTTTGGTTAGATAATAAATGCTGTGGGGAACCCATGGCAGTGACAGATTATAGAAGAACAGAAAGCTGACTAAGGATGACATCTTGAGTCTTCTGCAGCTATGTTTACATCCGTTCTTGGCCTACAGAAATCCACCTCTCATCCACCTTTCTCTCTACTTGTCTATTTACTTATTCTAACACGGTAGATGGTTTTGTTTCTTTCCACTTACATATTCTGTCTTGACTGACCACAGGTATTCTTTGTGTTCTTTTTTTCTTCTTTTTTCCACATAGATATATTGATTGATCTCTAAGAGCAGAACACTGACATAATTCTTTTGAGTTTTAGTACAGCTTGACTGCCAGGTGCAGACTAGTCACCATGGTAGCTGTATTTTAATGTCATCTCCTTTTGTTTTAGCAAGGCTTTAAACATGGTTTCCTAGAGCATCCTTATACACAAGTTGAGACATCCTGTCTAGATGGGTGGACTACTAGATAGATGAAAAACTGGATGGGTGATCATGTTCAAAGGGAAGGGGTTATTGGTCTGTACTCTACTGGGCTGTCCTGGTTTCAGCAGGGATAGAGTTAATTTCCTTCCTAGTAGCTGGTACAGTGCTGTGTTTTGCATTTAGGATGAGAACAAAGTTGATAAGGCACCGATGTTTTAGTTGTTGCTAGGTAATCATTACACTAGCCAAGGACTTTTTAGTTTCCCATGCTCTACCGACTGAGAAGGCTGCAGGTGCACA